CCCCAAAACCCCAAAACCCCAAAACCCCAAAACCCCTTCACCAATTGCACTGGTTGAGTTTGGAAATTAATAAAATAATAGTGTTGGATTTTTAAAGAGTAAATAACCAGAATTTCAAAATAGAGGTTTTTATAACTTTCTAAAACCTAGAAAATAAATCTGAGAAGCTATAATTTGAGAGAATTAGGCACTAGAGAAGCTTCAAGTACATTTTTTAGTGATTTTAGGTGAGCTAACACTTTTTGGGGCAATGACACTAGCTCCTGGGAGAGATGATAAGAACGGGCTATTTTTAGTGATAGTTATTTTTGACAGCGAAATCTGTTTCATTTAATTTGTATGAATAGTGTCATCAAACTAGTGCTAGAAGCTGTCAACTAGTTGTGCGATAGGTACTTTCCGATACGATCATTTATTGCCAATCCTGTTTGAAATTGAAACTTACCACAAAGAGTTTTGTAATGAAACTATCCTCAATTAGATAGCCCCTGAGACAAAGGGTTTCCTCTGTGGCCGCAATTATCAGCCAGTTATTCACAATATTCCTTAAGAAGTTATCAGAAATCTGGTATCAATGAAATTAGGTGAATTCTAAACTATTTTACATAACAAGGTTGCTGAGGTTTTGCATGAGTCCTAATTCATGATTCTCAAGATTTCCGATTGAAAAAATTCCTGAAACGTTTATTGAAGGCACAGGCCCGGCCAAGTACTAAAATTAATAAAACCTCATTGAATTTTTCTCTTTGTCATTTTTTGATAATTGAGTGAATAAAAGTGTGAAAAGTGTCTACAATTAACAGCTATGATACTAAAATATCGATCAGAAATTCTTCCTGAAGGGATGAGCAACCTATCAGGAATTCTTTCTGATAGAGCAATTTTATATAATAATCTTTTCTCTTGAAGAGAAACTTGTTATTTTAGCACTGGGCTCAATTGCATATGTAAAACACTACCAAAGCTGATAGTGTTGGAGCTGTTAATAATTTATAAATATTTGTCAAGATCTCTCCTGTGAGATTTTCTTCATAGATAGAACTCTAAGTGGTAATGTAATGAGCTCCTTAGCTGCTGGAGAGCAGCCTAATCCAGATTAGCATCAGTTGCAAAAGAATAGCTATCTTCTTGAGAAGTATAGTAAATATCTTGTCCTGAAGAAAATGAGATGCTATTAGCAGAGATGGAGAATTGTAGATATTTATAGCCCCTAAATTCTCCTGAAAAGCACTTTATATTAATTTCTAAAATATATGGAACGGGCAGGTATCAAAAAGAGAGTTAAAAGTGTCCAAGCTCAATCTGCCAATATTCATGATTTATTTGGTGCGAGGAGGTACTGACTGAAAAACTTTCGACAGCAGTTCGAATGGGAAGCCTCAGAATAAGAGGGATTTCTAAAACTGATTATCTGTCCTGGTTAAAACATTATTTTAGAATCATAATTCGCAATAACAAGGTCTTTAAATAGGTGCAGTTTAGAATTGATTAATAATGGAAATTTATAAAACAATGACTCACGGAATTAAAAATTAGCAAAAAATAGATTAGTTTGATAGAACATTCTGGCTCATGTTGCTCTTCTCAGAAGCTACAACAGAGTATTGTTTAAGAACATCACTGTGTACCGTAACCTCTTGGTTCTCTCTGATCAGTTTCGACTTAAGCTTCTTTAGCCGGTTTAGCTCTCTGGAGGATTTACAACTAGCTATTTGCCTGTCGATCATGCAGAGCATTCTGTTGTTCTCTTGCACGATATTATCGTTGTCTTGGATATTTTCGAGTATTTCCAATCGTCACTCCTCTCTCCGAGGATCTGCAGTGCTTTTTCTGACAGCGGCTGAACTGTTTCATCCCATAGCTCAATTATTTGTAAAGATTATAAGGTTTATTTCAGCGAATATTTTAGGTTTGGGGTTTTGGGGTTTTGGGGTTTTGGGGTTTTGGGGTTTTGGGG